ACAAAATAATTTAATCAACTGCCTCCTAATCGATGGGGCTTCTAACTCTGGAAGCGCCCCCAGAAGCAACCAAAGCGCCGGTACGTTACTTCTATCAGAAGCGACCAGTTACTTCTAGTTAGAAAAAGACTCCATATGCAACGCTCACGTAGACAGTTGCACAGGTAAAATACTATTCAGCAAATTGCATAGCAATGTTGACTTACGAACAGACTTACCGATATCTTTACGCTGGCCGTCTTCTGCTGCTGCTTATCTGCGACTTTTCTTGACTAACTCTATCAGTAACCGTATCAGTAACCAACCTAATTACCGTCTTCCTTGGAAGACGGTATACAGAGTTGAAGTATTTTACAGACTTCCTCTCTTTTGTGATTGGTAGAAATTGCATGATGAGAAAATTTTCAATTATTTCATTGGTTGAAATGCTGTTCAAGGCAAGGGAGATAATTTTCTGATGATCTAATTTTCGTACTACTTAACAATTTTTCAAGATTTTCAATCGTAAAAAATATGACAAAACGAACAGTGGAAATTGGCAGTAATTAATTCGAAATAACATTTTTTATAGCAATTACCAGAAACGTTTCTATATTTTCATTGTTAACAGAATTGATCTTTATTGGATGCAAGCTTTACAGCTTTCATTGTTAACAGAATTGATCTTTATTGGATGCAAGCTTTACAGCTTGTATGTATTCTTTTTCCCTTTGTTTTGCACTGTCTTTCTAATCTCGGCACACCTCGGCCGATTCGTACCTCATCTATATATCACAAAGGTGACGGAATCAGCCGAGGTTTGCCGAATGATCTCGGCAGCAGAGTCGAAGTTTACGGAGACAGCCGAGCATCCTTTCACTTGGTCAGAAAAAAACTGATGAAGAAATACAAAGCCAAGAAATTTTCAAGAATTTTACGGCCTGATAGGTTTAGGTCAGTTTACTGTTTTTAAGGTTGTTGCTAAAGACGGTAAGCTTTTTGAAAAAGCTCTACTTGTTGAGTCTCTGAGGCCTTATATATACTATGGGTATATCACGTGATCAGCCCATTCGGCATACCTGGGAACTCGGGGTTTTACGAACTCAGGGTCCTCTCGGAATGCCCTGTACCCTTCCCTTTATTACCTATTGCCGTTACATTATATTAGTTTAAATTCAATTCATTGTAGGTCAGATATTCAACATCCGAAGTATAATTCCAGTAGCGTGCATCCTTAGATGGAACGTCTCTATCTGAGTGAATGGGACGTTGAACAACATACAATCAATCAATGAACATTTTGAATATTTTTGGAAAAAACAGTGAATATTGCAATGAATTTATTTTAAATCAAAGGATGGATCAGTTTAATTACCCAAAAGTACACTTAGAATATCAAGAAGGGTAGAGAGAGTCCTTAAGTTTAGCAGATTTACCCATGTCCTTCGCATACTGTATCATTTTTATGGAAATGAGTTATGTGATTTTTCTCGGGGGGGGGGGGGGGGTGTCAAACAATATTTTTTTGAAGAGTTCATATTACAATATTGCAATCATGTCTTTCTTGTTCAGTTGAATGAATGTATTAATATATGAACCCTATGCCTGCAGGTACATGTATAGTCCGTAGGCCACTTTGGAAGACACTACAGTTAAAGTGAAAATATTCTAACCGTTCGTGAAAATTGGATAGAAATTTCAAAAATCTGCCAAAAGGATGTAGAGTTATATAGAACATACATGTAATATATTTCATTTGACTTTTTTAAATCTGCAACCAACATTGACACCTAATCTTGGCCAAGCCGTATGAAATCTAGACGTCATATCAATAAAATCTTTTCAGACCGTTCACGGTAGCTCAGTCGGTAGAGCGCTCACTCCGTGATCGGGAGGTCGTGAGTTCGAATCTCGGCCGCGACTGACTTAAGTCTATAAAAAAATGGGTAGCAACTTCTTTCGCCATGCGCTCGGCACTTTGAAGTGAAAGTTGCGGGTCCTTCGGATGAAATCTTAAGAACCGAGGCCCCGTGTCACGGCAGGCGTTGGCACGATAAAGATCCCTCACTGCTCAATGGTCCTGAGTGCCGGGAAAAGGTCAAAATTTGAAGCCCTTCACCGGTATATGGTGACGTCTCTATATGAGTGAAAAATTCTCGAATGGGACGTTAAACAACATACAATCAATCAATCAATAAATTCTTTTGATGTTCCATGGTGAAATAATGTGGATGTGTACAAATCTACTCAAACTGAACCAGGATGAAACAGAATTCATTGTTTTTACACAAAAAGAATATTAACACACCGAATCGACATCGGGGAAGTTGTTATTTATTGTGAATCGGACAGCGGAAAATTTGTTGCATTTTTTTTTGAAAAGCAACTATGACGATATGAAACCCTTTGCGAGTCATATAAGTTAAAAATACAAAAAAAACCAACTTCCAAGCCCAATTGTGATTTTGTTTCCTGTTTCACTTAATACCTCAAAAAATGGGCTGGCAAACACCTGTTTTATATTAAACAGTTGACAGTGTAATCAACATGTACTTGATCTTGCTGCACTTACAGACTATGCATGCCGTCACTGGCTTGTTAGACGCACAGTACAGGGGAAACAGGAGCTGATCAATCGATATTTTTTCACATGAATGTTACAACTTTTGAAATATATAAGGTGATAAAGGCACAACAATCTTTATAACAAGTTACACAACTTCCAGTGATTTTAATAATGTAAAGCAGCAATATTAATAGGGATTATGGCGTAGTCAAATGTGTGTACTTTATTCCTATCTGCTCTTCTTTCTTACTTCATGATTTCGTAGTTAGTCTTTAAGTTCAAAGCTGTAGGTAAGAGGTCCTTTGTGTCTTCTGAAGGTAAGCGTTTACTTTCACGAACAAGTTTGCCCAAATTATAAGCGGAACAGTAAACTCGTGGAGCCACAGGAAGGAGTCCCTGAATCGCTATATCTTTTGTGTTCTGTTTATTTGTTGTTTAACGGTCCTCGGAGAATTTTTTTGTTTCCTATGTCCCTGACCCGCTGTACCTTTTGTGTTTTATGGAGCTGTTTAATGTCACATGTTGCAGGAAGGAGTGCCTGAAACGCTGTATATTTTGTTTTCTATAAATCAACATTTATGTCACTGTTATAGAGAGGAGGTCCCGACACAATGTATCTTTTGTTTGATGCCACTAATAAAGGAGTCCCTGTGTTCCCTATATCAATGTTTGATGCCACAGTTACGAGAAGGAGTTCCCGTGTTCCCTAAATCAATGTTTGATGTCACTGTTACAAGAAGGAGTTCCTGTGTTCCCTAAATCAATGTTTGATGTCACTGATACAAGAAGGAATTTCTGTGTTTCCTAGATCAATATTTGATGCCACTATTACAATAAGGAGTCCCTGTGTTCACTAGATCAATGTTTGATGTTGCAGGAAGGAGTCCCTGTGTTCCCTAGATCAATGTTTGATGTTGCAGGAAGGAGTCCCTGTGTTCACTAGATCAATGTTTGATGTTGCAGGAAGGAGTTCCTGTGTTCCCTAGATCAATGTTTGATGTTGCAGGAAGGAGTCCCTGTGTTCACTAGATCAATGTTTGATGTTGCAGGAAGGAGTCCCTGTGTTCACTAGATCAATGTTTGATGTTGCAGGAAGGAGTCCCTGTGTTCCTTAGATCAATGTTTGATGTTGCAGGAAGGAGTTCCTGTGTTCCCTAGATCAATGTTTGATGTTGCAGGAAGGAGTTCCTGTGTTCCCTAGATCAATGTTTGATGTTGCAGGAAGGAGTCCCTGTGTTCACTAGATCAATGTTTGATGTTGCAGGAAGGAGTTCCTGTGTTCCCTAGATCAATGTTTGATGTTGCAGGAAGGAGTCCCTGTGTTCACTAGATCAATGTTTGATGTTGCAGGAAGGAGTTCCTGTGTTCCCTAGATCAATGTTTGATGTTGCAGGAAGGAGTCCCTGTGTTCACTAGATTAATGTTTGATGTTGCAGGAAGGAGTCCCTGTGTTCCCTAGATCAATGTTTGATGTTGCAGGAAGGAGTTCCTGTGTTCCCTAGATCAATGTTTGATGTTGCAGGAAGGAGTTCCTGTGTTCCCTAGATCAATGTTTGATGTTGCAGGAAGGAGTTCCTGTGTTCCCTAGATCAATGTTTGATGTTGCAGGAAGGAGTCCCTGTGTTCACTAGATCAATGTTTGATGTTGCAGGAAGGAGTCCCTGTGTTCCCTAGATCAATGTTTGATGTTGCAGGAAGGAGTCCCTGTGTTCCCTAGATCAATGTTTGATGTTGCAGGAAGGAGTTCCTGTGTTCCCTAGATCAATGTTTGATGTTGCAGGAAGGAGTCCCTGTGTTCCCTAGATCAATGTTTGATGTTGCAGGAAGGAGTCCCTGTGTTCACTAGATCAATGTTTGATGTTGCAGGAAGGAGTTCCTGTGTTCCCTAGATCAATGTTTGATGTTGCAGGAAGGAGTCCCTGTGTTCACTAGATCAATGTTTGATGTTGCAGGAAGGAGTTCCTGTGTTCCCTAGATCAATGTTTAATGTCTCTGTTGCGGAAAGGAGTCCCTGTGTTCACTAGATCAATGTTTGATGTTGCAGGAAGGAGTCCCTGTGTTCCCTAGATCAATGTTTGATGTTGCAGGAAGGAGTCCCTGTGTTCACTAGATCAATGTTTGATGTTGCAGGAAGGAGTCCCTGTGTTCCCTAGATCAATGTTTGATGTTGCAGGAAGGAGTCCCTGTGTTCCCTAGATCAATGTTTGATGTTGCAGGAAGGAGTCCCTGTGTTCCCTAGATCAATGTTTGATGTTGCAGGAAGGAGTCCCTGTGTTCCCTAGATCAATGTTTGATGTTGCAGGAAGGAGTCCCTGTGTTCCCTAGATCAATGTTTGATGTTGCAGGAAGGAGTCCCTGTGTTCCCTAGATCAATGTTTGATGTTGCAGGAAGGAGTCCCTGTGTTCACTAGATCAATGTTTGATGTTGCAGGAAGGAGTCCCTGTGTTCCCTAGATCAATGTTTGATGTCTCTGTTGCGGGAAGGAGTCCCTGACATGCTGCTGATGGCTCTTTGACTGCTTTTTTTCTGGTCTCGACTATAGTATAAAACAATTTATAAAATATAACTATAGTATATGTAATTGTACGAGACGCAAAAATATTGTCATAAAACATCATGGTTTAGATAAGATATTCCGGAAATGAATATTGATAAATATTGGACAACTGGACTACTTTTTAGGAATTTTGACCTATTTTCATCTTTTGTCCTAAACTTTTTAGACTGTCAAGATTACTACAACCAATATGTAAATATGAACTAAATTTGTCAAAAGGCATTTGTTGTATATGTGTTGTTCACATTTGTTTAGATAAGAACCCTCCTTCCAAGGGGAAATCATTAAGATACTGTAAAATCACTAATTTTTATGGAGGTTTAACTTTCCTTCTTTACGTGTTAATGTGGCTTGATGAAATATCAGATGAAGATCTCCATCATAGAATGAAAACAACTAGAGCGAGTAAGATAATAACTCTCAGAAAAGTGGTATTGGATTGGAAAGAAACAGGATTTGTACTACTGCAATGACATGGTATCCAGAAGAAAAGAGGAAAGCAGGCAGGCCAAAAACAACTTGGAGAAGAACCACGGAACAAGAAAGATTACAGCTGGGATGGTATAGCTGGGCGTCAGCGAGGGCAGCAGCCAAAGACAGAGGCAGGTGATCGAGGCAGTGTATTGGGGCTTTATGTGCCAGAAGGCACGAAAAGGATAGGTAAGGTGAGGCGAGGTGACGTGGTATGAAAAGACCAATAAATTCATGTCAACCACAAAAATGTAAAATTTCAAACATGTAACAACTCTGCACTTGTTCACCAATGAAATCACGAACCTAATAATTTTTGCTCGAATCTCGAAAATTTGATCCCAAGAAAATATGTGATTTTACAGTATGCATGTAATTCAAATTGTGCAGGTCATTTAAAAAGCTTTCTGAACCACAAACTAGAAGTGAATTAGGTATATTTGAAAGAAAAAGGTACAGAATACAAAGAAAGGACGGAGTGTGACGAGATATTGTCCCAAGTTTTTTTAGTGTTTAATTGTGTCCTGAAAAACTTATTAAAGAAATGAGTATTTGAGAACAAAGCAGAAATCGAGTTGCTAATTCAAATATAAGTGTTTATATACCTCAGTTGAAGTCAGTTGCTTTTTCTTTTTAGCAATATTTTCTCGATCTTTTCTGAAAAAGAAATTAAAACGGTTTTTATATACCACTAAGCATTTATTTAAACAATAAAATGCTTTCTTCGTTTGTTGATTCAGAAATAACGGTTGCAACATTGCTTAAAGCATTACCCATACCATGTTTCTCATTTACATGATATTAAAAGTGTAAATTATGTTAACTTTCTTATGATATCAGTTTATAATTTTTGTGTTTTTACTGCGGATATACAGCGGTAAAGCAACACAGATTGACTCAATGAAAAATTCAAGTTAAGGTATTCAATGTATAACGACCATATTTTGTATCTTATAAATGAACGATCCTATATTTGTAATTATGGTATAATTTTGATGGTGTTGTGAAATAAAAATACACCACCAAAGAAATTTAAAAAAAAACCTTGATTATTGTCAAATTAATTGCACCTTGAATTTTACATTGAAGTCTATGGGTAATGCATATGTTATTAAGATATTGTAAAAAGTATTTTGAATTTCATAAAAAGCTCTTGGTGAAAATATGCATACACTTTCTCATTATTAAAATATGAATTAAAATAATCATTCAACATTGATATTTTGACGAAATTACAATTTTCTTTTGTTCTTTGTTTTCTTAAGCTTTTTGGGCATCAAGGGCAGATAACTCTTCAAAAACTTTAAAAGTGCAAAATGACCAGCTTCTTATATGTTATCAGTCATGTGAATTTGGTTCTTCACTTTCATCGTTATCTAGTAATGCAATTTTAACTAGTTTAAAATGATTCAAAATTGTTCAAAATCCCTTCATTATACATTGATATCGACCACGTGCCTGTGTGACGTCAAAGACGACATGTACAACGGCTGATCACTATGTCACGTTGAAACTCGCCTTTCAATGTAAGTTGATTTTTCATCTAATCACACGTATTAAACAATTTAATTTCAAAAGAATTAACGTTATAGAACTTTTCGTTGTTCGTTTTTATTGTAATATCAATTTATGCAAATATACCTTCGTATATTTTGTAAAGTAAAGGCTTGTGGACTAAAAAATAATTTCCCCATCAAAAAACATCACCGTAATCAAAGCTATAGATTCTAAAAGTTTAGAATAAAAATCAGAAATATTAGAAATGCCTTGTACCTAAATACTAGTTCGTTTTTCTATAGTTAACGAAATACACGTTAGGAATTTAAAATTTTTCAGCATTTTTTGTAATTAGACTGCATTTGTCGTTGATAACTTCGTTAACAGTGTGCAATTCCTCATCTCTCTGTCATTAGATTGTCGGCTATGACGTCAGAACAGTATTTGGTCAAAATCCGATTGAAATATGCATATCGCAGTACTTGAACTTCAACTCCAGGGGATGACAAATCCCATTGCCCGACGCCCGGGGCTAGTGAATCTTAAGGATGGGCAAGTGCAATTTTATCAACCACTTGCTCGTGGGCTAGTGACTTTAAAAAATTGAATCCATATGTAAGTCATAGAAATAAAGCTTGACACAGGAGCTTGCATGATCTACTCAGTATTTGTCTTCCTATTTTTTGAAATATATATAAATATATACAGTATTAGTTTAAGGTCATGTTGGTAGGGCAAACAAAAATTCAGGTAGGGCAAGTGAATTTTGACCATGCACCTTCCCTTGGACAAGTGAGAAATAACAAAAAACAAGAGGCCCATGGGCCACAACCCTTACCCGAGTCACTTTGGCCAAACAGATTTTTTTGTAACTTACCCTCTTTCATTTCGTAAATATTTTGAATCCATGTTGTAGACCAAAATCTAGACCAAAAGGAGTTTCAATTTATTCAAAGTAAAATCAACTAAAAAGGGTTGCTTAAATATCAGTAAGATCAACGTGGGTCTGCTGTTTCGAGGACATTTTATTTCTGTACCGGATCTCTAGAGTAAGGTTTAACTCTCACCCCAGGGCGCATATTTCTAATAAAAAAAATTTAAACACATGTTTAGCATTTTTTATCATTAATTAGATTGTGATCATGCAACTTTTTAATAATTTCGTCCTATGTTCTCCCTTGTAAAGCTATGAGCCCCTGTTCTCAAGGACCATGATCTGAACAAACTTGAATCTAGAAAAATCTTCAGGATGCTTACATACCAATATGCCCTATGGTTTTTCTGTTCATTAAAGACAAAAATTTCCAATATTTTCTTTTGTAAAGCTTTGATTACCTCTTGTGGACCCGCCCTAACTCTGGAATTCATTACTTGAACAAACTTGAACATTACTTGAACAAACTTGAATCAACTATACCTGAAGAGGCTCCATATAAATATGAATTGTAGCTTTGCTGCATGTTCTTGAGGGAAAAAAAATTCCGTGAAATTCCAATGTTAAACTTTTATTACCTAATGTGGTCCTGCCCTTACCCTGGAGATCACAATATGAACCCACATCCTCAAGACGCTTCCACATAATATTAACATTAATACGTTTAGTCATGGCTTTGCTGTTCTTGAGAAGATCTTTTAAAGGGTTTTCCTATATAGTCCTATGTATAACTTTCATTGTCTTTTGTGGCCACGTCCTAGCTCCGAGGTCATGATATTGACAAACTTGAATCTTTATGTCTGAGGATGCCTCCATATAAAATTGACTAAAACATGGTATTGTTTTACTTGAGGAGATTTTTAAACATTTTTTCCTTCATATTTCTATGTTAAACTTTGAAAGGGTCTAAGTTCTAAGCCTGGGGTCATGATTTGAACAAACTTGAATCAACACTCTGTAACGAAGTTCTCACATATGTTTAATCTTTGCTGGTCAAACAGTTCTTGAAAGAGGAAAAGAAGACGCTCAACAGACGCCATTAAATGTTTTTAGTAAGACTTTATTTGAAGAAACTTGAATCCCCTTTACCAATGGATGCTTTGTGGCAAGTTTGGTTGAAATCGGCCCAATGGTCCTTGAGAAGAATTTAAAAATGTGAAAAGTTGACTGACGGACGTCAGATTAAATGTGATTAGAAAAGCTGAATTTAGTTTTCAGCTCAGGTGAGTTTAAAAGATACGGAAACCTCACCATCATAAAAAATTCTACAAGTTGCATATGAAAATTCAGTTACTGGCAAAGAGACACTGTTTATCAAATCATTTCGAATATTGACGGACAGAACTATTGCTCTACAAAACTGTAAACGTTGAATTAGAAAAATCTTATTCAGACAAACAAACATAAAACTAATGCACAATCTTCCTTTTAAAGCCAACAATCCAAATAAATTGTGTGACATGACCTTGTTTCTGATGAATGCAGTCAAGGTGTATAATATTGGGTTAATGGCGGAGTTAATCGGCAGAACGACAACTATCATCCAAGCATAAACGTCAGGCTGTACCTCAATCCCAAAAAACGTCAACATTCCTAGAACAGAAAGATAATAACCTCAATCCCAAGAAACATCAGCATTATTTTTTATAACACAGAGATAATTAATTTCAATCTCCTAAAAAACATTAGCACTCTTGTGTAACAGAAAGACTGGTCACAGTAGCCTTGTGGTAAGGCGCTCGCTTCGTGATCGGGAGGCCCAGGTTTGATTCTCGCTCGTCGCGCCGCGTCTAACCTAAGACGTAAACATAGGAAGTGACTCTTCCTTCGCCAAGCGCCCGGTACTAGAAGTGAAAGTCACGGGTCTTTCCGATGAGAACTTAAAACCGAGGTCCCGTGTCACGGAAGGCACGATAAAGCACCCTCACTGTTCAATGGCCCTGAGTGTCAAGTATAGGTAAAAATTTCAAGCTCTTCACCGGCGTGTGTTGACGTCTCTCTATGAGTGAAAAATCCTCGAATGGGACGCTTAACAACACACAAACAATAATCAATGTAACAGAGAAATAATTACATGTATCTCAATTCCAAAAATAGTCTGCATTCCTGTGTAATAGAAAGTTAATTACCCCAATCCCTAAAAACGTCAGCTTTTCCATATAGCAATAATTGCAGTATGTATATACATAGATAGTTTAAATTTTAAATTAGAAATCAACGAATACTTTCAAAGATACTATTGCAGGTTCAGTCAATGTATTTAACTTTCCAAAAAAAAAAACAAAATAAAGAAAACAAATTTTAAAAAAACACATAACTTTGAGAAAGCGGTATTTGGGGGAAGACAATTTGGTTCTGACTGGGGGGGGGGGATTTTAGATATAAATAATCTGTCCCCGAAAACGTTCAAAAATGAAATTTTCCGCAACTGGGAAGAAATTAATCTGTCCTTACCTGGTGAAGGTACCCCACTCTCCGAAAAATACAGTTTTCAAGTTTTTCCTTTTTTCACTTAGGAAGAAAATTATAATCGGTCCCCGCGATGGAAATAAATAATCTGCCTTCTGTCCTACATTTGCATCAAAATAAACGATCTGAATCCAAAGAAAATGCCATAGTCCCCCTCAGAATCCAATGACGGTTCCCTACTTCAAAACAAACTTTTGATAGCATTCCTTTTCAGATCTTTTTTTTTGTATACAAAAACACATAGCTATTCAGTATACAAAAAAATCAGCACACCCAGAATTTTAATAAAGCTGGAAGAACAAGGTAGGGTTTCAATACAAATCTGGCCCTGTATTTCTCCTAAATTTAGAAGTGATGGAAGAAATTAAACTTCATCCTTTCTGAATTATTGAAATTCCATGCAGTAAAAACATACAATTTTGTTTTCCAATATGACCTCTTAAATGCTATTTGTGACGTTATGAACTTGTGCATTTTCCCGTATTTTCTTTAAAGTTGCAGAAGACATGAACTTTCGGTGGAATTTTCTTTCAGAAAACATACAGCGCATGCATCGCCCACAAAGATTTTGAGATATGTGACTTTTCAAAGCATTTTACATAATATATCTAAACATTGAAGTGGGCGAGGGCTGCGGACACTATTTTCTAAAGGAAACTAAGCACAGAAATGAGTCATTTTGAGGCTTTTCTGCATAAATTTAAGAAATGTACCAAATTAATGACGTCATATTTCCAGAATGGTCCTCCTTCATGCCATATTCTTTAATGATTTATCATATTCATCTACTCAACTCATATTATAGCCAATTTAATAACTTTTCAAGAACATTAAATTTTAGGGCACAGTAAAGCCCAAACGTTCCTTCTTCTTTACGGGATGTTTACATACAGTTTTTAATTCAGCTGATAAAAAATCCAATCGAATCTAGGACAAAATTGAGTCGGGACGAGAGATTCTTGAAGTTTTTTGTGTCAGCTATGTTTTAGGGTGAATTAACTTCGTTTGAGGTTGCCTACAGTTTTTGATAGTTCGTAAGGTAAATTTTCTAGGATTTATTGGTTCGTTACCCACGAATCGACAGGTCAACGATAACTAATTCAGAACCTTTTTTCCATGACGGGATTTCCTCTCTCATAATTTCGTATCAACGGACCTCTGATCTTCAAATCTATTAAAAATGGTTTTTATTACGCATTTAAATTCTCTCATAATGCATAGTTTGACGATAAAACTTACCTATCGTCCCTATAGGTAGCCAACAAAACACATCAGTCACAACGACCGCAAACAGTGTCATCGCCAACGACGATTCCCGCTGTTTTGTTTTCGTCGACCGCACATTTCTCCCAACACTGACCACTTCAACAAATATTGAAATCTGTCCAACAAGAATTCCAAGAAAAAGAAGAAAGTTGATTCCCACGTATACAATCATGGAGTATTGCCATCCAGACTTTCTAGTAATGGACAAAGGAAGAGAAACACAGATACCAGACTGTGCGTAGAAGTTTTCAAGATTAGGATCCGGTATTAAAGGGATCAAAGCAAGAAAAAGAGATAGAGTCAAAGCAATAAACAAGAGGACAGAACCCTTTTTTCTAGTAAGTTTAAAGTCAGAAAATGGATACTTGACTGCAATAAATCTATCCATAGTGATCAACAAAACAATAAAAGCAGAAACTTCGCTTGATAGAGTTGCAATAATTCCGGAAAGGGTACAGATAGTGCTATGCCTCCAAACGTAATCGTTTAAACCGTACTGCCCTGTATAATGTAGATTTATGATAGCAATAGTGTACAAGTAAACACCCATCAAAAAATCAGCACAACTCAGATTCAATGTTAGAATATGGTACGCCCCAGCTTTTTTGCTATTGAAATTACTGGCATTATATAGAAAAACAGTCATATTTCCAAAAGATGCAATCAATGCTATGTACCATATAGCGACATTGAGAGGCGGTACTGCTATTAATTGCTCACAAGACGAAATTTCATTCACAGGAGCTACGCATTTGACATTGTATATGCTGTTTGGTCTAGCACAGCATACTGTATAAAAACTTACTTCCATCATCTTTAAACTATACAAACCTTTAAACATGTCAACAGCGACCTGAAAGGGATTTCCTTGCAAGTACAGCTCTTCTAAGTTCTCAAGTGCAGAGAAAGTACCGTGAAAGATTTGTACGATTTTATTGTGGGACAAATCAAGGGAGATAAGAAGGGTGATCTCAAGAAAAGCCTCGGTGTGTATAGTTTTAATTTGGTTTCTGGAGAGATTCAAATATATCAGTTTAATCGCAACGATGTCACCAGCATTGATTGATGATATGTTATTGTATGAAAAATCAGCTATTCTTAGGTTATCACTCTCTCCTTCTATATAAGACACGGGTTTTAACGACTGAAGACGGTTGTTATTGATATATAATACATAGACATTTTGATTGAAGTGGTGATATCGGGTTAACTTGTTGTGACTTAAATCAAGTATCCTGGGATCGGAATAAATTTCTTCTGTCAATTCGTTATGGCTTGCATTCACTACGTCTAAACAGGATATCCATTGATCATAAAATAAAAAATCCTCCAAGGCGTTACCAGAAATATCACAGGTCACTGGGTTGAAATAAAAGGTAGCTCTGGTAAAGTGATATGTTGAATTGCCTGTTGCCGTCAGCGATATGTCCCTGACTTCCTCAGGGCCGTACATAAACGTATAGAGTGTAATATTATACAAGTGAATAGATAGTAATGATGTATAATACATTATTTTATCGTAGGGATCTATATCAATTCTTTCAACAATACTATGCATTACAAGGATTCTGTGCAGAGAAATACTAGCGTAAGAAAATATTGTTAGATTTGTGATAACCGAGTTACGAATTTCAAGTTTAAATATATGTTTGCTTTCGACAAAATATTCGCGTGTTCTGTCATCGAAAACTATTCTATTGCATTCAACGTTCTTTAGAATGATTCTCTCTGTGAAGGCTGGACACCGATCTCTAACACAGATGTAGCTTTCTCCGGTACAGTTGCACCCAGGTGGACAGAAAGGATGACATGTGACAGAATGGTCTCTGTTATGTTGACTGCAGTCTACAGAAATATTTGTGTCTAAACAATCTGAGCATGTGACCGTTTGGGACAAACTTACGTTGGCATCTTTACTGCAGTTTGAAGGTACATCCTGACATTCTTCACATATAATCAGACTACTAACATTCAAAGAAACAATTTCCAGAGTTTCCTTTTCCATAAAGCATTCCACATTTGAAATCATTGAAGATGAGTTGACAAGCTGTATGCATCTATTACAGTTGTTGATTACAGACGATATATTTCGTAGTATGCAACTATTTAATGTCCTGAAAGCACTTTCCTGGAAGAGATAACATTCATTTTCTGTGCTGAAGTTTAGATACCGACACCGAGATGTAGCAATTTGAATACAGTTACTTGAAGATTGCAAAGCACACCCAGAGCAAGATAGAAAGATAGACTTGTTTTGGTTGAAGATTTGTGGGAAATTTTGAAAACTTCCGTCATAAAAATGCGAAAAACATACATTACCAAGAGTTTTAGAGACATTCATACACTCATAGTCAAAAGAAAGATTCCAGAAACAATTAGTAACAACTTGATGGCTAGGATTGTTTTCAATTACAATTCTTCCGTCATTTGTTTTTTTGGACATAAATGACGAATTTTCTGGAAATGATACGCTGTTGCAGTTTAGGGTAGAATTCACATCTATCTGGTACCTGTCATTCCATTCTGAAGAAGAAAATCATGGAATTTTCTTAAGTTATGTGATTCTGGAAAATATTATATACATCAAATATGTTATCCATTTAAAGGACAAGTGCACTTAAGCAATGCTCAATTGGCCCTTTTTCAGTGCCGTTTTACTTTAGAATATATTACCAAATTGTTCTTTTTTTTTGGTAATAGTTAAACACAAGTGGATATTTCTACTTAAAACCACGTTAAAACATCACCTAAATCAGCATGGGTTTGAAACAAATGAAGATTTTTAAGGGTTTGGTTTTGTGTTTATCCAAGTGAAACTCGTATGAAATAAAAATCTTAATAAATACTTCTTGCTTACTCTTGAAAACTGACCTTTGACACCTTCCATGGGAAAGCTGTCTTGACATGTATGCAGTTTGGTTGTCGCTTGCAGTGAATTGCAGCAATAATGTGCATATTACACTTGCAGGACTGCACAGCTACAGGTCTAACAAAACAAGAAGATGACATTTGTTGTATATGTGCAGATAGTTGAACGTCATGGGTACAACTATTTGTTTCGTTCTTAGCAACTCTGTGCGTACTTTTTCCATAACTGTCTGTTTTTCATCAACTAGGCATGTCCGCCATGCGAAATCTGAGAGCTGCCATTCCGGTATTGAAACCTACTGACTATTTCTGCAATCTGATGTCTCTAGTACCCCGATTACACAAAGCAATTAGAGAGATATCTCGTAAAACATCTCCTGCTATTAGAATGTATCGATCGAATTGTTTAATATTGTTTATTATAAAAGTAACATCGATGTTTACGTCATATCAGGGAATGCTCCGTCTTTGATTTTACAATGGACTAGCTAAATTAATACGCGCCAAGTTTTAGCAGTTCCGACTGAAGTTAACGTCTGTTATTTCTTTTGCAGGTAAGGGCTATTAATTACTTGTTTATCAAATAAGCATATTAATTTTACAGATGTAGGACAATGTCATATACTATTGAAAAATATTGCACGAAAATTAAGAACTATATTCCCTCTGCGTAGTTTATATCTAAGGTCTGTCATGCGATATTCGGTTAAAGTGAAAGTAGGAGTCGGTAAGTCGATTTTTTTTTGTGTTTATTGTGAATTATGAGCCTTATCTCAGATATATAATATAATTCCTAGTATCAGTAATACATTTCGAGTATGACAACGCCTGCGATCAGATGCACATCGATTTTAAAAAGGTAAAACGTTATACGAAGGATCCGAGAATTTCCACGTGTTTCTTGCAGACCACAATTTGGTAGCGGGCAACATAAAAGGTTCCTGTAATAAATGTTACTATGTTTCAAAATACTAAAAGAATTCGTCATTGTATCAAAATATAGTTCAGTCAAAAACAGGGTTTCAAATATTGATTTTTGTGTAAGATCCTTCATTGAGCCTCAGACACACCAAGTTAAATGTCCAATGATGGCTAAGTGAAGTGGCTCAACGTAATACACATATATGGTAAATCAGTTGTGTTATTTGTAAATCAAAATTTTAATATTCAAATTTTATTGCTTTTTTGTTTTACTTTTTGTAAAAGAGATGCAAGTATTATTAATTATTTATATAAATAATATTCACATAAGTTTGTACTATGTATACAAACCATCATTTTAGACTTGGTCATTTTAATTTGCAGATTAGTGCAGTGTACGTAGTTCTCATGGGGAAAAGTAAATTAAACGATAAAAATTTTCAAGGATGTCAACTTAACTTGCTTATTGCTTGATATGTAAATTGTTCATCAAATGAAGAGTGCAGCAAAATTGAAAAATAACTTTTTTCTAAAGATGAAAATTGCATAAAATATTATTCTGTAGTTGAAATGGTTAAGATTGAAAACTTGAATTTCTGCAACTGTATTGGTTTCATCAAAAAGGGAGTAATAAGGGAGTCTTACCTGATCTTAAGTTACCATTGAGCATGCTGAATCAAATGCTACCAATCATATTTTTTTTTAATTAAATGGTCATTTTATGAAAGTTTTTCATGATATGCTCAATCAGATTTAGGTTGTTGGTTGCACTTGTAAGGAAGAGATAAGGTGCTGGGGAGGGGGGGGGGGGTTCAATCTTGGTATTGATCCATAAATACCATTATAATATTCTTGTAGAAACCTCTAAGATTTTTCTATAAAGTGGAGAAAAAAAAATTAATGTACATTTACCGACCACTTTATCTCAAGGTTTATTTTTTTATTTATTTATTTTTTTGAGGACCAGCATTTTAATGGTACAGGCAAACCTTAGTGTTATTTCTATCCTGATGGGACCAATAAAAAAAATCGAGGAATCTGATAGTTTGACACATTGAGGTTAAAATGCTTAAAGAAAAAATGGAAGGGACTTTCAATGAAATATAAAGATAACAAACAATACTCAAATTCAAATTCACATTTAATGACGTTCGAGAGATTGAAGGAAAACTCTATTGTTATAATGTCTCAGAAAAAAAAGTTTTATTAAACACAGTTTCAGGAAATAAATACCATTCAGTTAAAACACAGACAGCCTTCAACATGTTCAACAAAGGTTAATATTAATATCTAGATTTAAAAGAATTGTTTTTGAACTTTTTTTTCCCTAAAATTTATTATAACTATATTTACCATGTTTACAGAATGCCTTGTTTCACAAAAAAAAAAACACTGCTCAGATATTTTCTCAGGACTGCCAATTTCTGCTGTAATTACCTGTGATGGAGGCCTCCCAAGAACCTCCCCTGTAAGGTGAGTTTTATATCACAATGAACTGTTAATTTAATAGACATGTGTATACGGGTAAGACGTTGCGCACGGTGTTGGTACTATAAAATCTGACTCTTTAGATGTCGTAAAGAAACTGGCGTTTTCAAGATGTTAAAGTTACTAGAAATTAAAAATGAAATTAATTATTTTATCCAAGGTAATAAATTATTCTAAAAATTCTCTTTTTAATAATCTAAAAATATTTTAGTTATGATACGGCTCTATTCATTATTGGTTATTACGGCGAAATTCCCGTGTCCAACGTCACATGAATTCTTGTTCGCGCAACTACAATATATAAAAAGATCCACTCCCAGTCCTCTAAATTGAATGAAATTTAGGAAATACAATAATTTGGATGCATACTTTGTGATATTGTTGAATTTTTAATATCATTTTCTCAATTTCATGAGTTTGGGCTGATTCTACAGTGCGTAAGTAAAATGTCCAACAGAAAAAAATCGTTTCCTAAAGTTGACATTAGCCCACATGGCGATGTGTACTAGACATAAATGCCAAACAAAAAGAAATTTTGATAAATAATCCTTAAGTGCATATGTTTCTAAAATTAATTATGTTGATAAATGTCATATTACTGCTAATACGTAGATATTAGTAAGGCTTTGTTAAGTGTAGCCATTTTGTCATACACGTACGAGTCGCTGTACTGTAACTTAGATGTCTCAGTTACATATCAAATATACATTAATTAATGTCATATATATACCAATCATTACTGTATCTTGAACGAACATTTCATACTGTATTAGATAATAACATAATTTTTACGGTAATCATCTACATGAAATAAATACAAGCATCAATATAAATGTAGCCAATTTGTCACAGGTACGAAAAACGTCATTTTACACACTACATATATACGAATCACGTCGGGAGCGTCAAATTATTATCGCCGTGATCTTTTTTTCCCCAATTTTCTGCAGGTCCGGAGTACCAAGAAGGGTAGGAGGTCCTTCTCCAATTATTTTAGAATAATCTTTCGTTTTAAATTTTCTGAAAATTTTCATTCAAACACCGGTACCCCCTTTTTATTTTGTTGCAGCAATATTTAAACATATCACTTTATTGTTATATCTCTCTCTCTCTCTCTCTCTCTCTCTCTCTCTCTCTGTTGCTAATAAAGAGAATGAGACCCCCCCCCCAAAAAAAGTAATAGAATTTCTGAATTTGGCTATAAGCCTTTTTTTGTCAACTTGGTAGGGTTTTTAGTCGCGAAACGTCCCCATCCCTCCTTTTTTTTTGCATGTCAATACCCTCCACCCCCCCCCCCCCCCGATTTGTAAAGAGAGCTTAACTACTGGGGCTGAAAAAAAACAAGAAAAGTTCAATTCAATATAAGGCCATTTAATTTTTTTTTTCAGTTTAGCGGCCTTCTATAATTCTAGAACCAATCTACCGTCCGATTCACAAAAACATATCAGTACAAAAGCCCAAAATTAAAACAAGAACTTTATACATGTACAGGCCTCCATGTGATCTCTAAAATTTATTCGCCAACTGGCTCCTAACCAAAAAAAATTAGTCGCCAATGCAAATTTTTAGTCGCCAGGTAATTTTTTTTAAGCATTAATTTAAAAACAGATATTAGTCAATATATATAGAGACATGCCCATTGCTAACTTGTAAACTTCTTTTCTGCTCTTTTTTTTTTTTTTTTTAATTGAAAATGTTAATAATTCAGTAATTTGACAATCACCAAGT